GCGTCGAGATGAATTTCTAAAATCAGCTTTTGAATTTAATAAGAAGAAGAAAGGCAGCGATCGTTTAAACACCTCTCATCTAGGTATAGCCGGGGGAAAAACGGCGGTTTATGTGTCCGAACACCTGACATATGAGAACAAGCAATTACATGCCGCAGCACGTATCCGTGCGAGGGAACTGGGGTTCAAGTTTATTTGGGTTCGTAATGGAAGAGTGTATGCTAGGAAGACAGAAGAGGCCGACCACATTCACGTGCGTAATATGGACATGGTTAAGAATTTAGCTTAACTTGTTTTGTATCATCACTTCTTGGTGTTTCTCTTATTATAAAGATGGTTAATTATTTAAGTAAAGTGAAGATACATAGATTTAAGTTAGGATTGTTGAATGTTCGGTCTATTAATACTGGTTGGGACGAACTAAGAGACTCTGTTACCAGTAATGATCTCGATATGCTCTGCCTTACTGAAACTTGGCTCAGATGTGACTCGGATACCAGACCACTCACTATTCCAGGTTATACATTTTTTCACGAGCCGCGTCGCAGTAGGGGTGGTGGCGTCGGTGCTTACATTCGATGTGAACTGCATGCTCGAGTTCTTCAGCATCCAGTTGGCGATTTGGAGCAACAATGGCTCAAGTTGAAACTCAAACACAGCACAATAATTGTAGGAATTAGTTATCGACCCGAAGCGATCAGTCGTGGGACTGCTGTTGAATGTTTGAATAATTCTCTAGAGCTGTTTTCTCCACAGTGTGATTTCTTATTTTTGGTGGGAGACCTTAATATCAATTGTTTAGACGAGAATAGTCATATTTATCTGCCTCATTGCCTAGCCAATCTCACTGACCCTTATAAACTTATACAAGTTGTTAATTTGCCGACTCGTATAACGGACAAGTCTGAAAGCCTGATTGATCTAATTTTTTCTCGTGATCAACTGAAACCAATTAATATATCAGTAATACATAACGATGACTTGAGCGACCATGGTATGGTCTTGGCGGAATACCCAATAAAGCCAGAGAAATTTCACCCTAGGTATGTCACTAGTAGACCTATACGAGACAACGCTAAAGTGATATCTGAAGCAGCTATGTATACACCATGGGAATTTGTATCTTTGTATAGCGATGTCAACGATATGGTATTGGTCTTTAATGCCCTCATTATTGATTTGTTTGACACATTTGCACCAATTCGTAAGCGTAAAATTAAAAATCCTCCCTGTCCTTGGTTGACGGAAACTCTTTTGCAAATAAGAAAGACTCGCGATCGTGCTTGTCAAAAGGCAAAGGTAATCAAGTCGGATTCGGCTAAGCAGTTCTATCGGGATCTACGTAATCAGTATAATTGCGCTATTAAACGGGAAAAGCAAGCATATTTTACTCAGTTTGTTAATAACAATAGGAACAAGCCTGCGAGTATGTGGCGCCATCTTAAGAATATCGTTAAGCCTAAACAAGCGAGTGTGATCCCGTTATCCCTTCGTGATCCAGAAACACTAAACAAATATTTTATTGATAGTATACCTGCGCTACCTACAGACGTAGATGAGTTAAATAAGATCAGGTCCAGCAAATGCACTGATCAAGTCTTTAAATTTCAAATTGTTACTGAATCAACAATCGAACATATTATTAATAAAAAATGTACAGAATCGCAGGGAGATGATGGCATTTCGATGTATATGATACAATTGACATTGCCTTATTCGTTGCCCGCTTTGCTGACCATCATAAATAAATCATTACAGGACGGTACTTTTGCCGAGGTTTGGAAATGCGCTTTAATAACTCCAATTCCAAAAAGGTCAAAGATTGAAAACGCTGGTGACCTGAGGCCAATTAATATATTACCAGCCCTATCGAAAATAGTTGAAAAGTGCGTTCAAATTCAAGTTAATGAGTTTATTAATACTGCAAAGATATTACCTCTCTTGCAATCGGGATTTCGCCCTAACCACAGCACCACTACAGCACTGCTTAATATAACTGATGATATATTATCTGCTTCCGATCAGGGGTTAGGTACGGTCTTGGTGTTGCTGGACTTTACTCGCGCATTTGACTGTGTAAATCTGGAACTTTTAATGGCTAAACTAAAGCACTTTGGTTTTGATGATACGGTTTGTAACTGGTTTAGCTCATACTTTTCGGGTCGTTCTCAAAAAGTTCAATGTTTGAAAGACGACGGCAGTTTTGACGTTTCAGAACCTTTAGCTATAACCAAAGGCGTAGTACAGGGCTCTATTTTGGGTCCTACACTCTATTCTCTATACTCAGCCAGTATTACAGAGGTAATTGCTCACTGTCGTTACCACCTCTATGCAGACGATACACAGCTCTATGTTCATACCAGTCCAACGGACATGTTGCCTGCCGTGTCTGGATTAAATAGGGATCTGTGCGCTATAGTAGAGTGGTCTCGGAAGCATTCTTTAGTTCTCAATCCTTCAAAGAGCACGTCAATCACATTTGGTACTCGACAACAAGTAACATCAATGAAGCAAAATGATATGAGTATTTGTATTAATGATGTGCCAATACCACGAGAAGATTGTGTACGTAATCTTGGTCTCTATATGGACGAACATCTCAGATTTGAAAATCATGTTAAACGAAAGGTTGCATTGTGCTTTGGATTATTACAGACTTTATATAAGCTACGTAGCTTTTTATGTAATCCTGTTAAGCAACAATTATGTAATAGTCTAATATTGTCACACTTGCATTATTGCGATATTGTGTATGGCCCTTGCCTTTATAAAAAGACCAAAAATCAAATACAAAGGATCCAGCACGCTTGCATGCGATTTTGCTTCCCTATACAGAGTAGAGATCATATCACCCCTCATTTAGTGCAAAATAAAATTCTGAATATGGGTGGACTCCGGAATTTGAAGTATGCCTGTTTTTTACTGTCATTATTCAAAACAACCTTACCACCATATTTACATAAAAAACTTCAATGGAAGAAACGTCGTTCAAATTTGAGAGACCTTGGGCTTTGCCTATCACTACCAAAATGCAAAAATATTGTAACTAGGGGTTGCTTTGTATATGCCGCATCAAAGATATGGAATGATCTCCCACCACCTTTGCGGACTAACATTTCAATGTCAACATATAATTTTAAAAATAAATGTAAATTGTGGTTATTACATAAACAGTATACTGCGGCCAAAACTGTATTTAATTTAGATATTTAATAATAGTTGTATTAATATTTTTTAATCGATTTTCAAAGTTTTACTTGTTGGTATCACAAAATGGAGCATGTTTTAGTTAAATAAGGTTGTGGCAGAATATCAGCGACTTCCGATAAAACGGCGGTTTAAGGCTGAGTCACATTCCCTTTTTGTTCCCAAAAAGTTGATATGTTAGATTTTAAGTTTTTGTATTTGTAATTATGTATTTTTGGAGCAAATAAATACTTATTATTATTATTATTATTATTATATTATGTACGCACTTTATTTCTGGGCTCCTATTTTTTATATTAAATTTGAACCAACTGAGTATCACTTGTGCATTTCCTATCCTTTGCTCGTTTCTATTTCGTTTCCATAAAGTCCTGAAACCTACTCAATGACAGAAAGAAAGCTCCACCAAAACGTAGTGTTGTTTTTCTCTACTCTGATCAGATGAATGGCTTGAGCCAACACTGCTCTATACAAATATATCATTGTATTTGAAGATTGTATTTACAAATAAGTCCCGTGTGCTGTTAGTTTTCATAAATCTAGAACTTTCACAGTGCAATGGTCAACACAACGACGCAACGGCGCTTTACCGGGTGCTTCGCTGGCCGGGTCGCAAGTGAAAGCGCAGCAGGCGCACAGTGACGTCACCACAGTCATGCACAGACCCAACCAACGCGCTTCATCACACATGCCACTCTCCGTGTAGGGAGCATTGTGCAACCGACTGCGCAAGAGGCCGCGGCGTAAACATGTTAAGAAATCCTTTTAACATCAGTTGTCTCCGAACATAGAGGCAGCAGACATTAAAGAAACAGTTTAATTAAATACTTTATCTTCCTGTGAGTAAGAGACAGCGATAGTGAAAATACACCAGCCTGCAAAACTAAGTATCACACTTTTAAAATTGCAATCACTTTTTAAGTACACAAGATATACTTCCGAAAATAAAGGACTCGAATACTTATGTATAGTTTAGTATATTTTCAAAGTAAGCTGACAAAGTTTGCTATGAAACGATTTTAAATCACTAAATTTTATAGGTTAGAAAAAATTCAAGTTTTAAAAATGTGATATTTAGTTTTGCAGAGCAGTGTATATCAAAATTTACTAACGGGTATTAACATAAAATATTCAGTGTACTTTTTACTATATTAATAAAATATTTTCTTAAATTAATAGAACACACGGTCAGATTGTTCTTGAAACGATTGATGTTGAACGAAGTGAACGATTATTTTTTCCAAACGTAATTTACTAATGAAAGTTTTATGAGAATCTAATAAGTATTATTAAGTAGGTAATTTGCATAATTCATAAACTTCAGTTGCCGAGTTTCGACCAAAAGAAATCCTGATTCATTGAAATGCGTTCTTAGAAAGGAGATATATCAGATTACTCTCTGCAAATTGAAGTCAGCCACGGTTCAGCTTATGATTTTTAGAGAGCTGGTCATGGATGATAGCACAATAATTCATCTCATATTTCGCTCAACAAGAAAGAATCGAGCATTATTTAAAAGCGATGACTTTAAAACAAATCATGATTGTTTTACAAATAACGAAATCAAAAGACGGTATCGCGTGAACGAACAAAAGGTCAATTGCAGTCGTTTACCTTTTTTGGCAAATGTCCAATTGCAAAACACACAATTGTTGAAGCGGATACCTCACGATCACACAGCCATCATTACCGAGATTAACAAACACAAGGTCATTTGGTAGCAACATAAATCTTCAATCTCATAGGAAACGACGATTAGATAAATTGCAGAGATATGCAAACGAATAATTTACCTGTAGTTTATCCTCATCAATCTTGGACTCTGCCTGTTTCAGCGCATCCTCTTTGACTTGGCTGTCTGCTGCTTGTGGCTGGCTGGACTGTACTGGCGTCGAGGGTGAAAATTGTGGCGGCAAACCGTGTAGGGCATGTGCGTTAGCCACAGGCAATGGCTCGTCCTGAAAAGAAACGAAATTATAACAAATCAAAATCCTGAAACCGGACCGTCAACCACTTTTTAATTATCTTATTATCTATACAATACAAAAACGTTTGTTGGATGGGAGCCCCCCATATTTTTAGTATTGATTGTTAAAGCCGCAACGAAAATACATCATCTGTGAAAATTTCAACAGTCTAGCTATCTTGGTTCATGCGTTCATGAGATACAGCTTGGTGACAGACTGACAGACGGACAGTGGAGTCCTGTTTTTACCCTTTGACTACAGAACCCTAAGAAAGATGTGATACAATTATTTATCCAAATACTGAATTGATTCTAATGATGATTTGACATTGTTAGTAAATTAACTTTTGGTTTAATAGTTGGGTAGGTATATTTATATGTGCACAGAATTTTATTTTAGACCTTCAGGCGTATAATACAATGAAGTCTATGAATAAACAGTTATTCGCTAGTTTAAATAATTATCTAAGTCAACTAACCATTGTCTATTGTTTGTTTTTTTCGTACCTCATTTTTTATTTGTTGAAGCTCTACTTGAATACTAAAAAGGTGAATAATGCCAACATTTTTCAACTTATCACTAAAAAAATATTTTTATTTCAAATTAGGCTATTCATAGTGTCATTTGCACTCTATTATATCCATACTAGCAAACCAGTGAACCAAATGTTCACCAAAACCTGATTTAAAAAAAATGTATTTAATTAATTGAGAACTTCGGAGATTTTGTGTGGTTTCGTTTGAAATTCGTGAATTCTCGAAAACCGGAAGTGCTACGTTACTCAAATCCGGTTTGTAATCTTATCAGACTATTCTTAACTTATAACTTAAATATTCTCTTTATCTATCTCTTACGGTTTGGCCGCTGAAACAGCACCACAGATGGACGGACGGACTTGTCTAATAAATAAGATATATATAAAATAAAGAAATGAACAAAATTCGTTATACGCTTTATAAAATCAAATATTACAACATTATCTGAAATTGTACAGAAAAACATTGGTCGTTGCTGGCTGCGCCGCCATTCACTTTGAGCGCAAAAACTATCAAATTGCTCATCGCAAAATGGCGGATACCTTTTGCATGCAGCTCGTTACTTACATAACTCCTATAGATGCACGGAGTACCGTCATGTACGTATATAGAACAGGTAGTAATATGCGAACAGCGCAGTATTAAAGTTTGTCATTGTTCATGTTAGACGCTGCGTTCTTAACGAATAATCACTAGAATTGACTACTGACACAGTCATGCGAAGCATTTAAAAAAACCTTCTAGCAATGTCGCAAGGTTACCGGGCTAGGCTACGTCACAATTGTACAATGACATTATAATAATCAAATGTAAACACAAAAGCATATGAACGGGAACGATCCTTGGAACCATAAAGTTACCAACAGTTTAGTTTGATTTTCCGGATAATTAATCTTGGATAAAGGAATTGTCAGTCGGTTAAGTTAAAGATATCATTTCTCAGTGTGAAAATGATCTTTAGACATTGTAACTACCAACAGCAACGAAGCGAGAAGTGTACGCAACCGCAACTGATAGAAAATGACGATTACGTGTCGGCAGCGTGATTGTCGCATTGTGCACTAACGCCCACAGCACTTTTACTGGTTTTACGAAACGCTATAAACGTTGAACAATTTTAGTTAAGTTTTCGGCCGAATGTTGTATGACAAGAAGACTTGCAAGAACGAAGAATTAAGAACGTAAGTAATACTGATAGCAATATAAACAAACATAATAGGGAAAATGCTACGGTATTAATAATTTTGTCATTTATCTTTCAATAAATCTTTTTGTCGAAGAATATATGAGTAGCCTAATTTGGGTATTTAAAAAGAAGAGGAAAAAGATCGTCTTGTAATTTTTACCCAAATCACCTTTAATATTTCTTTTAAAGAAAAAGAAATTGTAAAAGATCCATCATCCTGAAAAAGCTCCGTTGAATTTTTGAAATTAAAATCGTATATTAACTTTGTACACTTCTCTTGACTTATCTCATTCAAACCTTATAAAGCTTTTAATTACTACAAAGTCTCTTGTTACAAAGCTGAGCCACAACTTTGTATCGTAAAATCATAACTTCATTTTCGAAGTAGTTGAATGCTCCAAGTGGTGTCTAAGACGAGGAAAGCAATATTAGTAAGAACTAGCCGAGATAAAGAACAGTTACCTATAACTTTGCTATTCAACCCGTTTGTGGCCCACACTAGCGCTTTGTTCCTTTGTAAGTTTTAAGGCTAAATACTGGCATTTACTGTGTGGGCTTCACAAGAAGAGAAATCCATTTAGAAAGAAATACAATCTCTGAAGGCGTATTCTTAAAACTGACATCCGATGTGTGTGACCCTCGTCATATTGTGTCTTACTCTACGGCTTTAAAAACTATTCAAGTTAGAATAGGATGGACGACGATGTCAATCACGATATATTAAAGTCAGTTGAGTGCCTACAAGCGCTGAATAGAGAACGTAAGGACAAAATAACGTCACGTTTTCGTAACAAAATTCATAATTGTATTTAACATAAATGGATACCTAATAATGTTAATTAAAATCACACACAAATCGATGACAGAACAGCCTGATTATTGAGGGTGAGATCCAAACAAAGATTATTGTGGTGCGAGTATGCGTAAAATTATCTGCTTCCGTTGGTCACAATACCTAGCAACTAATATACCACACATGTATGTGGTTAAAAAGTACACGTGACTGAACCACATGTTATTACGTGTAATTATATAAAGTCATAACGTCAACGAGACTAGCTAAAAAAAACTAAATTCAACTGGCATTTCAGAAAATGTATCGAAAGAAAATAATAAAGTAAAATAATAAAACGTTTATTCCTATTAAATTGTTACACATTTAGTTTACATATTATTTTAAGCTGTGCTGTAAGTATTAACAATAGGCATAGCGTTGGAGCGTTGATATCTGGACTAGTTTAAATAACTGTATTGCAGATACCGGCGCCTTCCGACTTAATATCAATACAATCTCGTGTGAATAATTTAATTTATATCCATAATCAAAACGTTAATAAAAGAAAATAATAATAATAAACATTTTTTTTCTTCACCTTAATAAAATAGTATACAGGATAATACTAGTTACCTACATCTTGAACGGCAAATACATATCTTAATAAAATTAGCAACCATCATTGTATTTATATGTGTGTGTGTTTGTGTGTATATATTTGCGTGTGTGACTGTGTCTGTGTATGTATATGTGTGTGTTGTGTGTGTTTATGTGTATTGTTGATGTAATGGTAAGTTTGTTTTTCCGAATTTTTATGTTTAAGTAGAGTCAACTGATTAAGGTATTTTAGAATGTATTAGATTATCCAATTATTAAGATATCCCCTTTGATTAGGCCTTATTTGTGGATAATAATTCTTCCGTGTCATTATAACTTAGTGTACGTAGCCAAGATGTTAATATTTGTTTACATTTATAACTTGGATAAATGTTCAAAATTTAATTTATATTATTATATAACCGACAACTTTATACTTATTTTTTTTTCAGCTAAAGTAGTTCGGCATGTTACAGTTGGACATATTTTCCATCCTCTTCTGCCTGTACCTAATGTGTTTATTTGAAGAAAAATAATGGAGTGCAGCGACGGAACTCTTAAAAAAAAGCCCTTTATTTTCCAGAATATTTATACAAACTGCATAAAATAATCTTTAGAAAAGTAGATTGTGTTTGAGATGCCTCGGTCACGCAAAATTAAAGAAACCTTTTTAAGAGATAAGTTTAAAGAAATTGGCATAATGACGGTTGCATCACCATACATAATTATACGCAAATTTAATACTTGTAAGAAAAAGAATTAACTTGTTGAAGTTATACTTCTTTAGGCGCGTTATGAAAAAATGATGAGAGTGAAATTTTAAGATGCGCGCGCATCACTGTAACACTCTTTTGTGTTTACCGCACATTAAGAAAATCTACCAACAAAATAGAAATAGAATCTCTATTTAGTGGGTGCTAACGACTGCATTGTGAAGGCCTATCAAAAGTATTTATTAATCTGGAACAACGGAACCAAAGCGCGATTCAGGAGACTACAGCGCCATCTCTTGACCATTGGTGTAGTAGAACCAAAAACCACTTCTTTATTTTTTGTAATAAAGTAACAGTTATAGGTATTCATATTTATAATATCAAGAGTATTTATTAATCTGGACCAACGGAACCAAAACGCGATTCAGGAGACTACGGCGCCATCTCTTGACCATTGGTGTAGTAGAACCAAAAACCACATCTTTATTTTTTGTAATAAAGTAACAGTTATAGGTATTCATATTTATAATATTTATCCACATGTTTCTAGTTTGTATATTCGGAATACGTGTTTGAGTTTCATACAAGTGCAAATCACATATGTTCTAATAAATTATATTCAGTAGCGATTTTAATTGAATATTTTGATTATTTATTTATTTTTTCAAATTAAAACTGAACTTTATTGACTGTGTCCTTTTCCAGACTTTTTATTAATTTATTGTAATTAATTATTTGCATGCAATTAAAAACTAATTTTAAACGATGCCAAAGAAGGATAACTTCTCACGCGCCTACATAAGTACACGCACCCATTTTTTTCTTTAAAACAGTGATTTTACTTACTTTTCCTACTACTAGGCTTTACAACATCAGTAATTCATTTAAAGGTGTCTTATATTCGCATATTCAATAAAGTTCTGAGCAATATGCAAGAGTTAACCTTATATTTTAAAGAAACTTTAAAAAACTATTTATTAAAAAGCTTATTACAAAGTGTCTGATTATATTACAAAAATGCTTGGGTTTCAACTGCTACAATCAATTCAACGGGGTTTCTCTATTATATAAATCATGATTGTATTGTTGTTGTAACAACATAATGATTTGTAAATGTTGTTACATTATTCTTTTAATGTTGTGGTATTTTTGTCGCTCGTTTTTCTCCGTAGCTAAAAATCATC